TCAAGCGAATTTTGGGGATCTAACATCCCCAACACTCCTCCCCTTTTTAATAGCGTGTTCTCCTGTGGTTGACTTGCATCTTGACTATTGTTCGCCGCTGTCTGAGGGGATACCTTCGGGAACGAAGAACAGCTTGCTGCTGAGTTTCTTCTCGTGGCGGGGCTCTCGGTAGGTTGAAGGTATCACGCAAGATGTCAAGGGGAAGGCTTTCTGCTCTTGATGGGCGATCTGGGGCTAGCCGTCTGCGTATCTGATTGCGATGACGTGACCATTTATCACCTCCTACCTCTACTTCGTACATAACTCGACCAACCCTTCTGACCACTCTCGCTTCTACCCAAGGACCATGGTTCGTTCTGTAGTCGCGGGCAAACACAGGGCATCCCACCTCGTAAGCGGATTGTCTTTGCTGCTTTGTCTCTACTGATGAGGGTGCATTGGTCGGATGCATCAGGCTGTGGATCGTTTTCAATCTTCTTCCCATCAGGATTTCAGCTGGGGACTTTTGCTCCGGTAACAATTCATTTGGTGTTGTCCGATAGACGTACAAGAAATTTTGTAACGTTTCGGCTGGCGTCCCCTCACCTTTTGACTTGAGCAGTGCTCTTTTAAACGTATCCACAAACCTTTCCGCCTGCTCATTCGATTGCGGGTGGTATGGGGGCGAGCGTAAGTGTTTAATAGCTAGCCGTTGACAGAAATTCTGGAATTGGGAAGAGGTGAATTGAGAGCCATTGTCGGATACGATCACATCTGGTATGCCATTTCGTGAGAAAATTTCAGTTAGGAGCTGTATAGTCTTAGTTGTAGTGGGCGGCATAACGGGGCTGATTTCCGGCCATTTAGAAAAGGCGTCGACGACAATTAAATACATAGTTTACATTTGTTGGGCCAGCGAAGTCGACATGTATCCTGGACCAAGGATGCTCAGTTTTGGGCCATGAAACAGGCGGAATTTTGGCATTCATCTTTGCCGCCTGCTGACACCGCATGCATTTTTCAACCAACGCTGTGACATGTTGATCCATGTGAGGCCAGTATGCATAACTCCTGGCTATGGACTTCATTCGTTTAATCCCAGGATGACCAAGATGGAACTGTCTCAGCACTTTTGCACGAAGGGATTCTGGCACCACTACTCTTTCACCAAACATCAGACAATCGTTGACGATGCATAGTGACTCCCGCTGCTGAGACAGTTGCTTCATGTCACCTTCAAACTTTTTCGACGGCCAACCGTTAGTGACGTATTTCATCGTCATCTTGATGATGGGGTCGTTTCTAGAAGCATTTTGTATGTCTGTTGCAGACACCGGTAATGCGCGAACTGCGGTTGTCAGATAACATTCTGTGTGGTTCTTCGTATGCGCTTCTGGGTCATGTCGATGTGATACCAGGCTGCATATGGTATTTAGCGGGACATCAGCCAATTTTAGCTGGTCGAACCAATCTAAACCAAGTAAATTTAGATTAGCTGGCGTTATATAGCATACCCCAGTAAACGACGAATCACGGAAAGCAACTTTACATTCCAATTGTCCTAACAGACGAAGATAATAACCACATGCTGTACGAGGCTTTTGTGTTGTGTGCTGCAGGCTTGGGCTGCCCAATTTCTTGTACGTCTATCGGACAACACCAAATGAATTGTTACCGGAGCAAAAGTCCCCAGCTGAAATCCTGATGGGAAGAAGATTGAAAACGATCCACAGCCTGATGTATCGGACGAATGCACCCTCATCAGTAGAGACAAAGCAGCAAAGACAATCCGCTTACGAGGTGGGATGCCCTGTGTTTGCCCGCGACTACAGAACGAACCATGGTTCTTGGGTAGAAGCGAGAGTGATCAGAAGGGTTGGTCGAGTTATGTACGAAGTAGAGGTAGGAGGTGATAAATGGTCACGTCATCGCAATCAGATACGCAGACGGCTAGCCCCAGATCGCCCATCAAGAGCAGAAAGCCTTCCCCTTGACATCTTGCGTGATACCTTCAACCTACCGAGAGCCCCGCCACGAGAAGAAACTCAGCAGCAAGCTGTTCTTCGTTCCCGAAGGTATCCCCTCAGACAGCGGCGAACAATAGTCAAGATGCAAGTCAACCACAGGAGAACACGCTATTAAAAAGGGGAGGAGTGTTGGGGATGTTAGATCCCCAAAATTCGCTTGATAATGCCGTATTTCGGTTTTCACGTTCGCCAGCAGGGGCTGATCAAATGACCTTGAGATTTCAATTCCCACCAGGAAAATCAATGGCTGTGATTGGCTACAGTGTATTTTAGTATGCTATTTTCTTAACTGTCTCAAGGACGTTGTTATGTTGTATAAATAAACGAGAGTTGTATGCTTGATTGTACTGGATTGCTGGGTGTTTGTAGAATATACTTTCTACGCTTACCAAGACTTCTGTTTTACCGTTTGGATTCAAGGTAGCCTTCCTGGAAGCTGGTAAAAGTCTCGTTCGCGTTTATCGACTAAGGTAAACTCGCAATAGCCTCAAGCATACTAAGTGACGAACATATCAGGTTGTACCACGAAATACGAGCAATGCTTCGAAGACACCGATGATCGAAAACCAATAACCGACGAGTATCTTCTACTCTCATTGGCCATGTTTCACAGCCATAAAGTAAGACGGAGCGAACCACTGCGCAGTACACTCGTCCTTTAGTCAGCAAACGGATATCTCGCCTACGCCATAAGTGACACAGGTCGGCAAAAGCCAATCGAGCCTTCTGTATCCGTGCCGAGATTTCGTCAGTCACCAGGCCATCAGCACTGATGAGACTCCCAAGATAAGTGAAGCGGTCTACACGTTCGATCACTTCACTCCCTATCACTAGTTCAGGTGCCGATGCAACCCAGTCTTGAAGCAACATTTTGCATTTCGAGGGGGAAAACCGCATCCCGAACATGCTTGCATTGTTGCTTAGGGTAGTCAGAAGACTCTGCATTTTGTCAGCGTCTTCACCGAGTAGGACAATGTCATCGGCATATTCTAAGTCAATAAGCGACCCACCCGGTAAAAAGTCTACTCCAGAAAATTCAGACGAGGATAAGGTTATTTCTAGTAGCATGTCTATGATAAAATAAACAAGAATGGGGAAAGTGGACATCCCTGACGGACACCACTTGATGTAGAGAATTCCGGTGACAGTTCGCCATAAGCTCTCACTCGACCAGTGGTGTTTGAGTAAAGGGCTTGTATAAGGTTAATGTACTTCTTTGGTACACCTTTCAATGACAGACACTGCCACAGAACCTCACGATCCACTGAGTCGAATGCCGCCTTAAGGTCCAGGAAAACAACTATTGTAGGACGCCTAAATGTGTGTCTATGTTCCAGCACCTGTCGTAGTGTGAAGATGTGGTCTATACAACCACGTCCAGGTCGAAAACCAGCCTGGTTTTCTCGAGTCTGTTCTTCACGAGCTTTCGTTAAGCGTCGAAGTATCATTGAGGCCAATATTTTAGATACTATATTAGTTAGACTTATTCCCCTGTGATTGTCACAAGAAGACTTTTGTCCTTTCTTATAGATTGGGACAATCAGTGATTGAGACCAGTCGGATGGGATTGCGTCCAGTTCCCAGATTCTACCTAAGATCTCAGTCAACCTAGCTAATAAAACTGGACCACCATCCTTAAATATCTCAGGGGTCAGTCTATCAGGACCTGCAGCTGGTCCTCGTTTCAGATTTCCTAACGCTTTCTCAACGTCATTAAGACTAGGGGGACTTAGGTGGATTTGCCATTCAGGATGACTGGAGATCGTGGGTAACCGAAGAGTGGCGCGTGGCCAGTTGAACTGATCCCTAAAGTGTTCTGCCCATCGATCCAGTCTCCTGGATTGAGAATGGATAATAAGACCATCCTTTTCCGAGATAGTCTCACTCACATTCGGGTTTTTAATACCAGTTTCTTTAATAAGGCGGAAAAGTTGTCTACTGTTGCCGATCGCCGCTGCCTTTTCCATCGCTTTTGCTTTCGCCACCCACCACTGTTCGCGGTCGTTACGCAGACTTTTTATAAGTCTGCGCCTAACCTGACTACGCTCTTCATCATGCTCACAGTCAGGTGGGATGCGTTTTCGAGCATCCATCAGTTCGGGTGGATGCGACTGATATCCACGGCTTCATCCTAGCCTTATGGTTTACCTTACTAGCAGATATCACTGCTGTTTCCACAGCCTTTTTGATATCATACCAACCTGCTTGTGGATGGGAATCACTTACACCGTTGCTTAACTCTCTTTCTAGTTGCTCCTGAAATATTTTCTTAGTTTGATTATCATTAAGTAAAACCTTAAGAGGCTTCCTTACGGTGTCTTTCCTGCGTCCAGTAAGCCTCAAACAGATACGAGCTCGCACTAGGGCATGATCTGAATCCAATCATGTGCCCCAGAACGAGCGACAGTCTTCTGTCGAACCCCTCCATCGGTGGCTGATGGCGATGTGATCTAGTTGAGTCCAACGTTGAGACGACTTCGAGGGTCGTAGAAAGGATTTGATTTTGACCGATTTGGTCTCGCGTGCTGTTACGGGTATGAGGGCGGTTGTCACTTTCCGGCTGCCCACACCGTGGAAGGTTGTTTTTTGAGGGACCTGAAAAGGAAGATGGATTAGTGTTGATGCGTGACCGCAGAGTCCAATGGACAACTGCTTCAGGCCGGTCACGCACGGCCTTTTTATGAAAGGTTTTTTGAGGATTAGCTCCGTTCTTAAAGGCCCTTAGTGGGCACCCTAACCCAAGGAGACGGAAATCCGTGAGTTAGGGGAGGTCTGACATTTTTATGGTCGACCTTTTCTAACCCTTCCTTCCTTGTGAGAAGGCAGCATCGCTGTAGATGCTGGTTGTCCGAGGGAGACACCTTACTGCTGTCACACCCCTCTTCAGTCAGTCAGCAGTACGACTTCGCTCTCAGACCTTGGGTAGCTGCTTTTAGTCTCATCGTTCTCCAATCGACCTGCCTGGCATGGTAGGACCTGCAGGAACATACTTACTTACCTGCCATTTTTCCAAACATGCTTTATACAATTCCATTTGTCTGTCTTCCATAAGTTGTGGATTTTGTGAAAATGTTAACAATTTCGATAAAGCTACACATTGCTGTTCAGCAAAACTAAAGAAACAAGAAAATGAATTTTACAAAAGCAAAATCCTAATTATGAAATCAAATGTAAAATTAACCATATAATTAATATGTGTATTATAGTTGAAATGTATTCAGTCGGCTGTGTGACTGATACAATATGACATTTTGATCATTACTACCAATCAAGCATAACAGATTAGCACTGAGACACGATTGTACAAATCATTCAACTGCATCACAAAGTAAGCCCTTATTTAAGAATCTTCAAGGCTGAACGACAAGAAATGGACCAAAAAGAACACATTGCACCGACAGTTGGAGACAGTCACGAATAAATAAACGAACAATACTTGTAAACAACTGGAAAGCAGAATCGAGGGAAAAAGTTGATTCGAGACTGCTGGTAGTCGTCAGTCAATACACCACGAGGTGTAACATGCGTAAATAAGTAAGTTTTAATAAGCTTTTGTGTCATCCTGAAGGATTGATAGTATTCCCCACATACCTCAGTGTAGATGACAGCAACCAGAGTTCGTTTTGTTTCGCTCTTTCAACATCCTTTCCATGCATCAAACATTCATAACACAGATGCATTGTTTACAAAGTTAAAACAATGAATAGCGAGTGTTTCATATAAGCTGAAACCTGACTGACTGATGGATGGATGAATGTATATAGAAAGATTTATAGATCTATATTCAAATAAATCAGTTAGTCAGTCAGTCAGACGCAACGTAGAACTTCGTACGTATGTACATCAATTCATGTTTCCATACCTCATCAGCACACAGATACAACTGTCAATTAAAATCCAATAGTAGAATAGGTAGTAAGGGAATTAGAAGTAATCGGAGAGGTTAGGATTAGAAGATATTATTCAAGAAGTATGATTCAGTGAGAAAAGTTTAGAAAGTCAAAACTAGAGTTGTTGAAGAATCCAGAAGATTAGGATTTGAGAGAACACAGAGAATAAATGCACCGGTGTCATTGCAAACGGTTCTGAGCCATCTAACCATCACCCGACCGAAGCTGCTACCTTGACGTGGTGGTTGGGCTTAACTATCGTGATGACCCAACCGAGCTGTATTGGCTGGAACACATGCTCCTGTAGGTTCTACTAAGCCTGACAGGTCGATTGAAGAACGATGAGACTAAAGGCAGCTACTCAAGGTCTGAGGACGAAGTCGTACTGCTGACTTTAGAGAGGTGTGACAGCAGTAAGGTGTTTCTCTCGGACAACCAGCATCTGCAGCGATGCTGACTTCGCACAAGGATACAAGGGTTAGAAAAGGTAGACTCTAAAAATGTCACACCTCACCTTACCTCACGGATTTCCGTCTCCGGCGGAAAGGGTGCGCACTAAGGGCTTTTAAGAGCAGAGCTATTACTCAAAAAACCTCTCATAAGAAGGCCGTGTGTGACCGGCCTCAAATAGTTGTCCCCTGAGCCCTGCGGTCACGCACTCAGGTCTCTAAGATCAACACTAATCTATTTTCCTTTTCAGGTTCCTCAAGAAACAACCTTCCACGGTGTGGGCAGCCGGGAAATGACAACCGCCCTCATACCCGTACCAGCACACGAGACCAAATTGGTCAAAATCAAATCCTTCGTGACTGACTGACATCTAACCATCGATTGTTATCATCTCACGGATTCCAACCAGGTAGTCGACAACTACCAACATTACTCAGTCCACTTGTCAATGACTTCATGGATTGCTGCCATGTTTCGGTTTGGCCGCCGACCCTAACTATCTTCCAACCTACTCCCCTACACCACAAAACAAAGCTCATTGAGGCAATTGGTGGTTAGCCATACACAGCACATGTGTCCCAACCACCTCAAATTCAAATAAATCTATGCATATCATAAAAACACACAGACACACTTACTCTTCATTCATTCCTTGAATAAATTCCATAAATTTTTCATCTTGTTCAATTACATCCATATGACATATTCGTAAGATATCCATTTTCAACGAGGATTGTTCCATTTTCAATTGATTTAATTTTTCATTTATATTTAAAAAATGTTTAATAATTAAACCAATAGCACCACTGGTCGATTGATTATGATTACCAGCGTCAACTAAATCGTCATCCATGAGAATACCAAATTTTCGATTAACTTCTGTATCATGAACAAGGTCAGTGCTACTGGTGATTGTTTGTTGTTGTGGTTGATGCAATTGATTAGGAAATTTACGTGTTTTTTGTCGAAAATTTGATTTTTGATCCATGCATTCGGAATGATTGATTCTAGCCGATGAAGTTTTGGATGACTTAGGTGCTGGTAAACAACCAGCCATTCCATTAAATGAAGATTGTAAATTTTTACACACTAAATACCTTTAAAAGGAGCAGAAGAAGAAGAAAGGAAAAAAGAAGTGAAACAATCATTTATAGGATGAACAATTTTTAGTTTGTTAGAACAGTGAGAAGACGTCAATTGATCTGAACAATCTGGTCACAACACATACAGACACTACTTGTCAAGGCATTTTGATATGAAGATCAATGAAAGGTCAATTAAATAAAAGTTCAAATAGTAGACATAAGGTGATAATTGTGAAACTAAAGGAGAGAGAGAAAATTAACGTAATATGAAAAAAATAAGAAAGGGTAGGAAAAAATGTCACATTACCCCCACTAGGCTTAAAGATTACCAAGGTAAATTCAAGTTTATGACAAATTGTTTCTGCAGTTAAGGCTTATGGAACATGTACCTAATGGGCGTCAAAATCAGTTCACATCAGATGAGTCGATTAGCGTTGGAAATGGGAAAACCATATTCATCGATCGTAAAACACATAATTGAGACAGAGCGCATAAGATTGACGACATCAAGACAGCCTTCAAAACATTGTATAGAAATGTTGAAGGACGAATTTTGAGGTTTATAGAGGGAGGCCTTGGCGATTTAGAAAATTAAAACCACCGCCCTTATGTGTGCAGAAACAATTTGTCATAACCTTGAATTTACCTTGGTAATCTTTAAGCCTAGGGGGTAATGTGACATTTTTTCCTACCCCTCTTATTATTCTTTTCATATTACAATTATCACCTTATGTCGTTAACTGAACTTTTATTCATCTTCATATCAAAATGCCTTGACAAGTAAATATGTGTGTGACCAGATTGTTCAAACAGTGTATAGCGCGCAAATACATCACATTTTTCAGGTCAATTACGTCTTCTCACTGTTCTATCAAAATTTATGAAAAGGGACTAATTGTTTTAAAATTAAATTTATGTGTGTGCGTGTTTGATATTTTTCGTTCATTGAAAATAAATTAATTACAGAATAATTTGAATGTAGCGATTCAGAGAAGGGAGTTTCCAAAAAATAATTCATATGTATACAATGATAACATTATTGTGATGAATAAGCTGTTATTTTCCTCACTGCATAACTTGAACCAGTTCCAATGTGCCCTCAGATACTTTGGTATGGTCGAAAGTGGACAATTCACTGTATCTCTCTCTCTCGCTCGCTCTCCGCGACACTGGATGCTCTTCCATACAGCAACGTGTGTATAGCTACCGCCATGGAAACACTACTTACTATCTTGTCATCACCGCATGGAAGATGTTCACCAAATAGATAGGAAGAAAAGCAAATATCTGGTTGAAGCTTAAATCGATTTAGTGGGTTTGAAGGGTCCACCGAGGTGAATGGGTAACCACTCACCATTTCAAACCGATGCGTCATATGCGATCAATGATCCTGAAGAAACAAATAGCATATGAACGCATGTCAGTGGGATATACATGGAATTAAAGCATGACTACGTTGCCGCGCGCTGATTGGCTGATTTCCTATCCAATCAGCGCCTGATTGATTCTTGGAGAACAGGGTTAGAAAATTCTCGTGTTGTTGTTAGCTGCATGCTGATTGGCTAAATCTAATCCAGTCGATTACGTGAATTACTACTATCCAGAAGCTTCTTATGTAAATGCTATAAAGAAACTAACGTTGTATCTATTTTCGCCTTCACCTTTGGCTTCTTATTTCCATTTAACCTTTGCTATTTGGAATATAATCTTTTCCTGTTCAACCGTGTTTTTGATTCTTTGGAACTTGTCCAGTGTATTGTGTGGTCAGAGAATACTAGGCGATAGGAATTAGCTGAAAATTATATAAGCGAAGCGTTACAACAACGCATTATCGTGGAATTGTATCTTCTGACGTTGCGAGACTGCTTTGTGGATGAGATCTTTAAGTCAAACGTTCAGCAAGTGCAATGCTCAGAAAACTATAAACTTCGGTTTGAGAAGACCGACTATATACAAACTAAACAAATGTATAGATTTATGTGGTATATAAATATTTTACTGGCCCTTTTTACCGATTTTTACATGTTCAAATAAATATATAAATACAGAGAATGACTAGTGAACTGAAAGTTGTAACAAATGATTTAGACTTCCTCATCCACGTATTCATCATATACATTGGATACCTAAACATGATATGTCTGTTTAATTTGTCGTGCACAACAATAATTCCTTTGTACATTATTTCGTGACTAAGTTGAACTCCAAATACCTTATCATCCATTGTACTCACAGAGTTCACTCTGATTTAAATACTGGTTCCTACATGACAGCATCCAATGCTGCTCCTAGATCAAAGGCTCAGTAAGTCAGCTATGACGTACACAAACTAACTGCTTCAGTCTAAGCATCTGACAGTATCCCGACTCATTCACAAATTCAACAATTTTTATGATGCATAAATATATAGATGCCCTTTTGTACTGATCTATTTTTGTTTTAATCAATAAACAGTTCGAAGTAATACTAGTTATAGTGTGGTGTTAGCTACTTATAAGTAGTATATGACGCGAGTGTCAACGTAATGTCTGGCAGCAGAAGATGGGGGAATATCAAGAAAGGAAGAGTTAAAACACAATGGAATTTGTATGAAACGCATGAAGAGTGACAGTGGATTGATGTTTTGCAACAGGAACAGTCCAGTTCGATATGATGAACTGATATTTTGCAAATTATTGATTTACGATATGGTTTTCCGATTTTACTGAGTAACTCTGTAATTTTCGTTAAATACAATCCGGTTGCCCCACCTGTGTTCTCGTTCAATACAATAGCATTGTCGAAATCAATGATTACTGATTACCACAGTCTAATAACAAAAATCAACTTCAATTATACTTTGGAATATTACTATGATTTTCAACTACTGCTGTTTCATACTTCCTACTCTCTCCAGTGTGCTTGATTTCATGCAGTTCCATCCATTTTGATCGATGCACAAAATGTTCATCATGAATGATGTCGACTTGATCGAGATATAGTGACTGAAATAAGCGTTTATCCAGATCCTACCATGCTAAGCAAGTTGATTAGTACAGTGATAAACTCAGCGTTTGACAACAAAGTTATGATGACCAACATCTAGAATTATGTAACACTAGTATTATAGAAGGAGAGAGACGAATCTAGAGATACAAGACATCGGGTATCTCACTGCAAGAATTTATTCCACGTATACATGCTGATAGTCTAATCATACACTTTATAACTCGGATACTTTTCATTGATTTCAACGCATAATTATTAGTACAATAGGTTGATACGACATTTGTTCCGTCACGGTCATAAAGCCCATGTGAAGCATTAATTTGGAATCACAGTTCTTCAATTCATTTAGGTAGATTTTCCGTATGCAATGACTTAATTCAAATCCCCGTTCCACATACATTCGCTTGAATACTAATTTCTAAGACTTTCCATACTATTCCATACGTAAATTTCGTAAACACAAAACAAACGATGCGAAATATGCAAATAGTTCATTATTTATGAAGTTATTTTATGTAAAGAAAGGCAGTCAGTCAGTTACAACGTAGAACTTCGTACCTACACACATCAGTTCAAGTTGCCATACTACATTAGCATAGAGACGCAACTGTCGAATCAAATCGCAGAGTGGTAGCGATAGTAGAATGTTACGCCTGCACATGAACACGTCAACTCGATATGCTTGAATTATTACAAGTTTACCTAGTCGGAAAACGAGAGCGAAAATCGAGGATCCGGCGACACGGCATGCTAGCCTAATAAGATTATCCCAACCCCCTCAAAAAAAAAGAAGACCATATGAAGTAGAACCTGTAATCTACAAGCATCCAGAAAGTCAGTCAGATGCAACGCAGAACTTGGTACATAAGTACATCAGTTCATGTTACCATACCACATCAGCACAGAGATATAATTGTCAGTTCAAATCCAATAGTAGAAGAGGTAGTAAGCGAATTAGAAGTAATCGGAGAAGTTAGGATTAGAACATACTATTCAAGAAGTATGATTCAGTGAGAAAAGTTTAGAAAGACAAAGGCGTAGAGGTGTTGAAGAATCCAGAAGATTAGGATTTGAGAGAACACAAAGAATAAGTGCACCGGCGCCATTGCGAACGATTTTGAGCCATGTCATTCAAGGTCTCTAACCATCGATTATTATCATCTCGTGGACCCCAACCAAGTAGTCGACAATTACCGACATGGCTCAATCCACTAGTCAATGACTTCATAGATTTCTGCCATGTTTTGGTTTGGCCGCCCCTAACTTTCTTCCAACCTATTCCTACACTACGAAACAAAGCTCGTCGAGGCAGTCGGTGGTTCGGCATACGCAAGACATGTCCCAACCACCTCAACTGATGAAGTTTCACCACTTCATCGATTGATCTGCTATTCTTACCTAGCACCCGGTTGTCCCACGATATACGAGCAATGCTTCGAAGACACCTATGATCGAAAACCAATAACCTACGGATATCTTCTACTCTCACTGGCCATGTTTCACAGCCATATAGGAGAACGGAGCAAACCACTGCGCAGTACACTCGTCCTTTAGTCACCAAACGGATATCTCGCCTACGCCATAAGTGACAA